AAAATAGTATATATGTAATGTTCTATAAATATCGTTCGGACAGTATATAAGCAGCGAAAGCTTAAATTAGAAAAAAGATTAGAAAAAGGATTAGAAAAAAGAAGATTAGAGTACAGTAACTGAATAAAGTTGTGTGTGGAAATTGTTGAAGAACTTTATAACACTTAGAACAAGGATATTCCAAATACGAGAAAGCCTCGTTGGCCAGCGCATCTCGCAGATGTATTTCATTTTTGCAAGCTAATGTAAATTTCAAAAGCTTTTGAGGAAAAAAATGTAGAAAAATCGGCTAAAAGAAGGATGCAAAGGCGCCGACGTCAACGCCAAGGTAAGTTTGTTTAAATATTGATGTATTGTTTGATATTGATATATATTGTTTGATATTGATATATATATATATATATATATATATATATATATATATATATATATATATATATATATATATATATATATATATATATATATATGTGTATATATATATATATATATATATATATATATATATATATATATATATATATATATATATATATATATATATATATATATATATATATATATATATATATATATATATATATATATATATATATATATATATATATATTAACAATAATAACAATAATAACGTTACACGAGTGGAATCGTAAACGTGGGAAACCACAACATTCACATACAACATTGCCAGACTAATAGCTGGCTATACGCATTGAAGGACTAACCTCCGAAATGCAACTTGAACATCATAACTTAACAAGTCGTTCTCAGCTTGACCTTGTAGCTCAGAAGGTAGAGCATCGTTCTAGAAATGCGAAGGTCGCGGGTTCGAATCCCAGCCGCGGTCAAGTAGAATTTTCTGCTTGCCCGGTTTGGTATACACTCGTCTGAAAACAACTCAAAAACCTCTACATGACGTTACACGAGTGGAATCGTAAACGTGGGAAACCACAACATTCACATACAACATTGCCAGACTAATCGCTGGCTTTACGCATTGAAGGACTAACCTCCGAAATGCAACTAACATCATAACTTAACAAGTCGTTCTCAGCTTGACCTTGTAGCTCAGACGGTAGAGCATCGTTCTAGAAATGCGAAGGTCGCGGTTCGTATATATATATATATATATATATATATATATATATATATATATATATATATATATATATATATATATATATATATATATATATATATATATATATATATATATATATATATATATATATAGTTTTTCGTTTTACCTCAAAGAACCACAACAGTCTGTTTCATCCGTATAGGAATCATCAGGTGGTCCACCTGATGATTCCTATACGGATGAAACAGACTGTTGTGGTTCTTTGAGGTAAAACGAAAAACTATATATATATATATATATATATATATATATATATATATATATATATATATATATATATATATATATATATATATATATATATATATATATATATATATATATATATAATATTAATGAGACCAAAAATGATCAAATTTTACATATATATATATATATATTCTAAATGGTAGAAAAAAATTTCAGAAAGGAGAACAGTAGAAAGGAGAGTGCAGTCTGTTAGAGATCAACATAAATCAGTACCGTTATAATCGGGTTTATATACTTACTAGAAAATCACATGCATGGAGAAACCCTTGCCTTGCTGACAAAACCATTGTATTTTCCGAACTGAAATATTTAAAGTAGTTGTCATAGTAACACAACAATTTTTTAAGAATATTTTTACAAATGAAAAATCCCCTAAAAATATCACTTTTAATTGCAAAATTATCAATTTCCCAAACATATATGTGTTAAATACCTTATTACTTATAACTGCCTTTATCGATAAACTTTGAGTTAAAAATCTCGCATGCAAATAACTTTGCTTTCTTTTTTATTTAGCAATTATAAAGCAAACAATACATCAATATTTAAAAGAAACTTACTTTCGTTAACGTCGTCGCCTTTACTCCCTTCTTTTAGCAATTCTTTTGCCTTTATTTTGTCAAAAAGCTTTTGAAATTTACAGAATCTTGCAAAATGAAATATATTTGCAAGAAATCATCAAATCAAGAAATGTTTGATATTTCGCTGTCGTCATGCAGTCGCAATTGGACCAATCAGTGTTGGCTATTAATGACAGTCCGCTATATTATGAGATCATTGAGGATGACCACCCACCGAACCACCGACGGTAACTAACCCACGCCCGCAATCATTGATGAACTTTAAAGGGTATGGGCAACGAAAATTGCTTCATCTATCTTATTGCTTCGTCTGAAAGAGCATGAAAAAATAAGCCGATTGGCCGTGTAATGCTCTATTCTCTCTCATCTAGTTCCGAAGTTATACGCAAAAATGTGCAAAATATGAATTGCTGATTCAGCACAACGTGTGACGTCTTTAGCTGGGTAAGTATGTTTATTGAATACTACACTGAAGCATAGCTCAGTTATTATGGGCCCAAATCAAATGAAATTTTGGATACTGATTGTACATGATGAGACGCATGGAAAAACACTTCTAATTTTGTTGCCAAGGTAACAATGTCGTTCCCAGGACCCTTGCGCCAATTTTATAAAACAGCTTTATTCAAGGTACTGATAAAAATAAAATAATATCAGAAGTATGTGTACGATACCTATGCATGCTGAAAGTTTACTTGCATGATAATAATTCGAAAATGACATACACATAGAGAAATGCAACTAGTTATTCAAAATCAGTGCCAACGAAATTAGAAGTATTTTCCCATGCGTCTCATCATGTACTATCTGTATGCAAAATTTCATTTGATTTGAGCCAATAATAACTCAGCTATGCTTTAGTTTACTATTCAATAAACATACTTACCCAGCTTATGACGTCACACATTGTGCTGAATCAGCAATTTATATTTTGCACATTTTTGCGTATAACTTCGGAACCAGATGAGATAGAATGGAGCAGTAAACGGCCAATCGGCTTATTTTTTCATGCTCTTTCAGATAAAATGCAATAAAATCAATAAAATTTTTTGTTGCCCATACCCTTTAAACTTCCCTAATGCTTTCCTTTACCCGGGGGTAAATAACCGGGCGGAATTAGTACCTTCGCACGGCGCTCCGCGTCGTTGGCTCGGCGATACTGCCATGCATCTTTTAAACGTAAAGCTGAGGAAAAATACGAAAACGGTGATTTCACAATCGTTGCACTGTGTGCTATGGCTATGCTGCAATAGGATGAACTGTTTGTTCAATAATGAGTGGCTGCATGTGAGAGAGAGAGAAATTCATAATGGGTCATTCCACGCCAAATCGACTAAACTTCCTGCCCAAGCATTACAGATTTAGTTGATTTTTGGTACACTTTTAGATCATTATATAATTAGAATTTGTGTGAATTTTTGCCAGATGACATTAAGTATTTCACGAAATATAAGCAAAACACTGCGTGATTGTCAATGGCAGAAGTCGCCATTTTGACAGAATTTGTAATTTCGGCATAATTCACACATCAATATCTCGTTTATCACTCAACATATAAAGACACAAATTGGTAGAGCAGTAAATCTGAGACTGCTCTTCTAAACCAATACATCGTTTAATGTATGTGATGAAGGATGTCGTAAATAACGGGGGATCAACATACTGGCAGAATGGAAAAAATACAAATTCGTCGTAGATTTGAACTATAATATCTTGGAAGATATCTGTCTAGGTACATTCATGTTATCCACACATAAAAACAAGCCTTCAAAGAATTCTTGTTAGAAATAATAGCCCGTTATAATTAGTCAGGCGTTAAAAATACCGATTTAAATTGCGGCAATTTTCGGATGTGTCTTCTTTTCGACGAGGGAAATAAGCATGTGGGACTAATCGGACAAACTCAAGATTTCACTGTATTAAAGTAAATGTTACGCTAAACCTGTGGTAGAAATTCATTATTGTCCTCTGTCTGGTTCGATGTTAACGAGCGACCTAAAAATTGGTGTTTTTCACTAATTCAGTAATTAAATTCAAATGTAAACAAACAAATTCTGAATTTCATGAAGCGCAATAACTAAGCCGGTGATTTTGTTATCAATCTCCTAGTCCTTTTCTAGTATTCTCTATGTCTGCCAAAAAGTCACAAATGCGAGAAATCATTGATATAAAACATTCATTTTGAGTCTTTATACCCTCCATGTATATCGCCCGGTGAACAATATTAATATAATTCTTTGTTATTTATATGCATGTCAAATGTCAATCACGCCAAAGAGACTTCATCAGAATGTCAATTGTCTTAATATTAATTAAAGCTATCTGATCTTTTTCGACTATGTATTTATGAATGTACTGGAGTAAATTGCGCACAGCTGAATTACCTTAATAACAACTAAATAATAGCTGTTAGGCTATATTCTACAGTTTATAGTACTGCAGATCAGCTGTTCTCTTAGGGAGTGTTCATTATTTATGGTTGGGGGAAGGGGGTGAAATCATAGGGGGTGGGGCGTCATTGTGGGTCACCAGAGTTTGAGGAGTAATTGAGGGGGGTCATGAAAGTTTTAGTTCTGCCAAATGTTTTGACCTCGTTAAAATATCGGTAGAACATGAACATGAAAATTTTGAATTATTAAATGGCTGCAAGTTTACAGGAGCTTTTGCACTATTACTGACGTCATTTTAATTTTTTAACTAATATTGTACATACCATATTTATACATTTGTGCTGCGTTTTATATAAAACAGGGGGCATAAAGGTTTTTGGTCTTTTCTGTAGGGGTGGGGTGGGGGGGTCATGTGAGTTTTGCCGTTGCGAGAGGGGAGTCATGTAGATATTGAGAGGGAGGAGGTGTGAAATGCCGCCCCCCCCCCAAACCATAAATAATGAACACTCCCTTAAAACCTCAGTTCACCCGTAAATGGAGCTAGAGAACGCCTGTCGGACGTCTTGTACAAACTGATTTTCTCAAGGTTAAAATACAAATCAGTTTTTAACTATTTTCAACATGAATACCAATGAGACGTCACGGACAATTGTAGTAACCATCTAAAAATTTGTTAAAGCTGTCTTCAATCATCTCAATTGCTGGACTGTTAAGTTTGTATTGTTTGATTCGACCCTTTGTGATCTGCAACGGCTCTTGCACGGTACATAGCACATGCTCAAAAGGAATCCAACATTCATCTCGCGTTGATGCCCATACGAACGAGTGGATTGTAGTGCCGGGATTACGAGATCTCATAAAGTTTACGAGGACGTCTTCATTTTCGTGCGATATATCTTCTGCGACACCCAGGTACCAGGCTTTGTCGTAAACTGCTGCTAAATACTGACCATGTGTGAACGATTGAGATGCTTGTGCCTGAGACAAACTTGTTACTTTAACGGATGTTCCATCCACATCTGCTGAAATTCGCCAGATTTGCAGAGAATCAGAACTGACTGGAACAAAACTGTGGTGACTCCTTGTTCCTGCTATGGTTTTGGCGTCGTCCAGACGTGGTTTTGGCGTCGTCCAAGACCATTTCGCATTTCTCAATTTCCTCAGTGCTTACGAAAAGCATTTCGATTCCCGAAATGTTAGATTTTGCCCACGAAAAGAGTTCTTTAGCAATGAGAATGTGATTCCCTGTGGTTCCACCGATACCATCGCATGGAGTTTTCCCGTGACTGGTTGCAAAAAATTGCCATTCCGCCTTCATCCCGAAATCCTCCTTATGGTAGCAGAAATTTAAAAAGTTTTTACAGTTTTTAGTGTGAAGTTTCACTTCACACTGTTGTGATGGCTGGCGAATTCACACGAATCAGTCAGTCAGGCAATCAGTCAGTCAGGCAATCAGTCACTCAGTCAGTCATAGAGTAAACTTTCCGGGGAGTGTATACGATTTATGTTCGCAGTGATTTACTGTACTTAGTCAGTGCTTTGAAGGTTATTTAAGCAATTTTATTTATTTTCTTTAAATATTCTTTTGTCCTTTTGCCAAGTTCACAAAAATTTCGAGGAATCGTTGTCGTTATTGTAAATTTTTGTAATTTCAGAACATTCGCTTCTCATGTTGTGTAAAGGATCTTTCCCCCCGGAACACCCGATTTTTTCTATAGCAGGGCAAATGCGCATGCGCTATGAAGCCGTAGATCACGATGCTACGAAGGAGCGACAAGGAGCGACAGTGTTGTTTTCAAATGTATTAATTTAAACATTTCAGACGTGAATATTGAGTAAATCTTTGAGAATCTACGCAATATATAAATTTATGTTATGCATGACGGTCTTTCAATCAAGTACTGATATATGTGGACGGTATATTCATTAATATACAGAGCTAGGAAGGAGCGACGTGACAGTGTTATTCAAATGTATAAACATTTCAGACGTAAATATTGAGAAAATCTTTGAGATTCTAGGCATTCAATTGAGTGCCGATATTATTTTCACGGCATACTCGTTATACAGAGGTACAGTATACGTAGGCAGAAGCGAGACAGTGTTGTTTTCAAGTATATGAACATTTCAGACATGAATATTGAGAAAATCTTTGTCCTTTGAGATTCTACGCAATAATGCGCGAATCAAATCGAAACCTTTACATCCCCCCCCCGGGCATACCCCCGGGAATTTGGATTTTGACGTTTTGGTCAGGTCAAATTCCCTACATATATTTGTAATTCCCGTTCAAATACACCACGTATTGGGAAAAATTGGAGTTCAAATGCCCCACCCCATGTACGAATTGGAAGCTACAGCATTTCGCAATTTTGGAATTTCAAAGTTTTTCTTTCCTTCAAAAACTCTCTTCAATCGTTCAAAGTCGTTTTCTTGTAGCCAACCAAGGACAAAGTTAATTCCTTTGCACTTGAAGACCTTGAACTCATCCATTAATTATTGACGCCATTTTGGATTCTGCACACGTGTTTAAAAGAAAAATTCAAATTCCCGACCCAGGTTCAAATTCCCCACCTTCCACTAGAAAAAAAGGTCAAATTCCCGCCTTCTTAAAGTACTAAACAAGCAAATTCCCCAGGTATGCCCGGGGGGGGGATGTCAAGGTTTCGATTTGATTCGCGCATAATACTATTATGTAGTATTAATATGTTGTGCATTACCGGTATTCAATTAAGTGCCCATCGATATTATTTAGAACGTGTATTCATTATACACTGTCATTGACTGTATAAGGTATATACATCACAGAATAGATGGCTACGCTCAGTACAAAGAGCGAAACAACTATTAAACAGAAGCGGGTAAACGTTTGTACGGCGTTTACGAAGAAAATAACTTGCGAGTCAGAGCTCCTTAATTAAATAAGAAAGACGAGGAGATAGCCAATGCGCGTTATCACCAACGTGTTATCGCCAATCACTTGGCTCGCCAACAAGCTTTATGCAATAGAAAAAAAAAGCAAGGAGGTACATGTAGCCAACGTGTACCGTCACGGGCCTTGTCTTTGTTTACTGTCTAGCACAACGCCGTTGTCAACGGTGTAAACTCTTGTTCAGTGCAACGATAACTCCACCAGATCTTACGAGAATCAATCTGTAGTATTCTGTAAACAGAACTGTTCAAAGCTTGTCAAAACTGCTTTAAACACTGCTTAATTGTAAAACTATTGAAATCTAAAGTGACATTATTCAACACATGCGAAAAGCTGAAAATAGACGTGACACTGGAAAGTCAAAGGTCAATGAAACTTGTTATTGTGAAGCATGTCACAATTAGGTTAAAATGCGGAAGCGGATGGAGCGGATCCACGGAACGGATATGCGGATAGAATACGGAACGGATGAGAATAAAATGCGTCCTTTTAATGATGTAACGACGTAGTGCTTATTATTCATAACATATCTTATACAGCTATTTCAATTATAGTTTTAGATAAATTTAGCATAGCAGTAGCCTCGTGGGGAGCTTTTAGCGACAGCTGCAAATACAAATGAAAATTTAGCATCGTGTAGCATCACAATAAATAGATGAATTGCATCAGTTTCAC